TGTGTCTCCTTGTGGTGACAATGGCATTGGTAGCTGCCTACACTGCATGACTCATTATATGCTGTCTGTAATAATGTCTGTGATGTATTTGTCTCTGTCTTCTCTAGGCACATTGCCTTTAGATGCAACTTTTTAATTATATAAGGTTGAGGTGTACTGTTAAGCTGGGTCCAAAGAACCTTGTATATTAGTATAACTACTATGCTAATGGTGGGATTTTTTTTTAAAGAATCCAGAACTGTAGGAGATTGTACAGCATCACTAAGGTGTACATAATTTTAGTTCAGTAAAAAAGACTTACAGCACAGTAGTTTATCCATCGTGTTCTGGAAATAAGCAGAATTACATTAGTGAAAAATAGGGACCTACCTTGCTGTAAATGCATCTGTGCTACAGGCTAAGTATTGAACAGCATTAATGTGTAACTGTTACTAATATCCTGTAGGAAAGAATCCATTTGCTATCCATTGCACTACTTCCAGAAGCAGTTCTCATAAAATTTTATGCTACTGATATGTATTTACATTACTTAATACATCTCCTCAAATGTAGTCTCTAACAATAGGGCAATTTCAATGCAATGCTATAGCGACTCATTTTATCTACCCCAGAATATACTACTAAGTAAGTATTTTATGTAAAAAAGTATTAAGAAGTAAATGTTCCTATCATCTTCTTGGTAATTGAGTCTTTTACTGCACAGTCTAGCCCTTTTCTCCCTATAAGGCCTATGGAAGCTCTTTGTACATTTTAATGTTTGAAAGTAAACAGAATCACATCAGCAGTAAGGAAATATTTTTTGATTTCTCTAAGATTCTCTAAATATGTAGCAAATCATGCAAAGGTTTGTTTTTCTTAGTTAGTTGGTTTTCATGACTTGTCAAGTGCACTAATGATAGTCTACTAGCTCTTCACATCTGCAGAATCTTACTGAGAAAAGAGGCAGACCTGGGTTTCTTACATCAAAAGCAGACCGCAATATTTCCCACTTGATCTTTTCGTAAATAGGAACATTTTAGAACTTGCTTATCCATTCCAAAGTAAAAGACTGCAGACCTCTTCCTTCACAAGTTGTATTTAATAAGTAATGTCTGTCAAAAATTAAACAGTTTCTGAGTTTTAGAAACTGGTTGAAGGCATTTAACCCTAAAATGCATATATTCCTGCTTCCACATATATTCCTCACCTGACTTGGCAAAAGTAGTCTGCAATGCACTGCAATTCATGCAGTTTTTGGAAGGCAAAGATTGTGATGGTACTTGACACACACACAGGTCACGTGGAATTCATAGGTCAGGGGAAGTGTTTGCTCCCCACCAGCTCAGCACACCCCACTCACCACATGTGGAATAGTTCCTCTGGAGCTCCTGCCCAGGAGAGGTGTTGATGAGCATGAGTGAGCTCAGCATTGCACTGTGAAGATGATCAGAGGGCTGGAAGATGTAGCCTAGTGGGGGAGGCTGAGTGAGCTGGGCTTGTACTCTGCACCAGGGGGTGCAACAATAAAGAGGATAGTAAAATAGCTGTTTCCTTAAGGTAGGGTAAACCCCTGAAATATGGGTAGTGAGGAAATCTTAGGTCCCTTCCAATGCTGGGAACTCTGTTTTTGTGCAGTATCTGAGAGACATTACATGGATCTTCCCCTGCACAGATGCCGTCTGTGGAGGGGTTCCACATTCTTCCCACAACGTGGAGCCTTTTCTTTTGTGTGGCAAACAATCAGGCTGGGATGTCATCTAATTCAAAATATTCACCACTGTCAGCACAGGCTTTAAGTACAAGGCTCAGTAGAACAGACATGTACTGTTCAAGATCACTAACTCCCTGAATACAACATTTTCCACAATACTCTCAGTGTAGCTTGGTCTGCCTGGAAGAGAGACAGCTTTAGAGGTGCTAACAGTGCCCATGCAGTGCCTAGGAGGATGCTGGCAAGAGGTCCAAGCCAGGTTTTTACTTAAGTCATGCCAGAAGAATGAGAGAAGGTGGCCTGAATAAGGGGAGGGTCTGGTGACACATAAGGAAAGCTTTTTCACAATGGAAATAAGAATTTGTAACCAGTTACCCAGGGAGGTTTGGAGTTCTAAGCTCTTGGTGGTCTTCAAGACCTGACTGGACAAACCCTGGGTAAAGTGGTCTGAATTCAGTGTTGTCCCTGCCTTGAGCAGCTGTGTGATTCTGAAATTCAGATCAAATAGCGAAGTTGGAGTCCTAATCTGTGAGCTGAATCTCTAGCTAACAAACATTAGATGACAGTCCACCCTGAGAAGTTCAGTAGAAGTTAATTAAAATAATTTAGAAAAAGAATTTAACTTGGACAGATACAGTTTGCAATGAAGCAAAGCTGGGCAATGGGAGGAAAATATTGGCATAAAAGAACAGCTAAGACTGCTTAACCATTTTCACCGATTATCTTAATTTTCTTTTTTCAGCAAGTTATATTCCCAGAGTGGATTAAATTTCAATTTAACATTATCCTGACTATCTGCTTGCAGGGATGGAAAATATGGAAAGGGAACAATCATAAAGCTATGAAACCATTAACATATATTGTACTGATTATATTCAAGATGGAATAGAGTCTTACATCACTAGGACAATTTTTACAAGGAGGGCCACCACCCTTTTAATAAACATAGAGAAGGTTACTTGTTTCACAGTGTGCTTGCCCTTTAGCCTGTGTCCACATCTGGATCCAGCACCTGGGCTGTTGCCCAGACACTGTGTGCTGTGTGCATGTGTAGACCGAGGAAGAGTTGTGTGTTCCCAGGGATCTTGTTGGACCATTCTAGGCATAGCTGATAAAACACATTTGCCTGAAATATGTCTATCCATACCTTATGTGTTGTGAAAAATCATATAAATAACTATGATATTCTGGTTAGTCTTCCAACACTATCCCAGAATTGACTTTGGTTGCATATACTGGGCTTCTTGCATATAATTTCTTGATATTGAAATATAATAATGAAATATAAATTTATGTTTATCTTCCATGCCTGACCCCAAACTTAAAATTCTCTTCAACATGTTCCTGTCTCAACCCACTTAATCCTAGCTCTGCCGAGATGGATGTGTTTACATCATATCTTGCTGGAAGAATAAAGATCCCACTTGCCTTTTTGTTAAGTTATGGAGTGAAGATGGTCAAGGTAAATGATTTTGAAGCACACACCTTAGTCTCCCTTGAAGGATAGAGATCAGCCCAGCTGCTCTCCAGCATAGTTTTTTGCTGTCAGCAGCATTTCCAGGGGTTTATTGTTTGTGGTCAATTCAGTTACTCTTCTGCAAGTTGCTGGGTGAAGGGAGAGTGAGGGTTAAGGCAAACCCATTTTTTCCCTTATGATCTTGCTAAGCCTATTTCCCGCTAATTGAGCTAGATTCCAAACTGAGAGGGAAAACTAAAAGGAAACAACTTCAGGAATCCAAGTTTCCTACAAATAGGCCTTAATCTAGGGAAAAAAATCAGGTATATTAGATTAAGTTGTGATTCTTACTCTTTGCAACACAGTCTTAGAGAAAAGCTTTTGTAGACTCAGGCAGCTGCAGCAGTGTTCAGCCAAGTCTAGATAATGGATACTTACAGCTGCTGTCAGTGGAAAAGCTTCCTGAGATTGTTCAGCTTCTCTGTTGTCTGTTCTCACAGTCTTACCCTTTCATGAGCTATTAAAATCCATTGCCTGGTGGCAGATAAGGGGGAAAGAGGGAGAGCGAACAGGTCATGTAGGTTTTCCAAACTTTTGTAGTCTACCTCAGCATGCTGTTTATGAATTTTGCCCTTCATGTTTGTTGGTACATGAAAACCCTTAGTGGCATAGAAGTGGTAGTCTGTCTGTGAGCTTCCTGAGCTGGTCTTCTAAAACAGTTGTGATCACAGTGATTAATCAGCCTAGGTTTAGAATTATGTACTATATATGCAGCATGGATATTGCTTTTCACCTTTCTGGTTTCCTGCTCAGAAAGACTTCAAACTACCAGTGTCCTGACTGTAACCAGAAGGATGTGGGTGCCCTAGCTTCAAGTAAGATTGCATACAAATATCTGTTATTTTTCTATTAAACTGATCAATTTTATTTAATCTCTCTCTTTTGTGATTAAGAGGGCAGGCTGAAAGATAAAAAAAATAAATCAGTTTAAATTTTCTATTCTTATCTGCCACAAGCTTAATGCAAAATCATATGGGAATGTTGAGGAACAATGAATTTCCTGTGTTCATGATACAATTTACATTTACAAAAATGAAAAGGTTTAGATACTGAAAAATGATCTCACAGACTTTAGCACTATAATAGAATAGAGACCTTTTTGTATTGTTTCATCATAGAGACCTTTTCCTTAGTTGGATTTGCCACTGAATTTTCACTTTTTTTTTTTTTAAATTCTCAGTAGACTCACAGTCCCAATACAAGTAATTTATTTCACATGTGTTATTTTTCATTTTGCTGAGAAAAAACTCTAAGTCTTGACCATGTTTTGAAATAAAAATATTAATTTTAGGGCACTACAAATATTTTTCTTTTTATTTTAGAACCAGGTGACTCCAAAAGAGAGAAGGAAAAAAGGGCTATGGAAAAATGCATTTCTTTCTCTGTGCTGCATTTAGGATGTGGTCATGCCCCAGGAGCCTGGAGATTGCTGTTATGATGTGCTCAGGGATCCAATTTTATCTACGTATAAGCCTTCCTCCCACTTCTCCTAAAGTGTGCTCCTCTGGTTTGCGTAGACAGATTTTTGCAAGAACTCTCCCGAGTAAGGGCATTTGAGTGCGAGTCTGGCCACAGCTATTTACAAGTTCGGGTTTTGACTGAAGTGAGTAATTGAATCACATTGAGCCTCTGAAGTTTGCCTTTTATTTATATCTTCCCCCCAATTGTGTGGCTCGCTCTGCCATTGGCTGCTGTCCCTGCAGCCTACCCGAGGGCTCTTCAGTTACATAAGGCTCTGTCTGCTGGAGCCTATATAAAGCCTTGTGGCATGCCAGCAAGAGGCAGAATCTTACCACGATCCAAGTCCCACTGCTTTAGTTCGCATGAGCAGGAAGATTTGCTCGAAGATACCCTGAAACTGGAACCCAGGCTGGTCTGTTTGCCAGCCAGTGCTTCACTGCTGTCAACCTCAGTGGCAAGTGGCAGCTACCGTGAGTAGCTTCTGTGCATCATGAAGAATTTTTCATTTCCTGTGCAGGATAACACACATCAGACCGAGAGTCCTCCTCCTCACAGATTCCTGAGTTTGACAAATCAATCAGATCCTATTGGAAGACCAGAAAGAGATGAGCAATTAGCTCAAGTAGAGATTGCTGTGCTGGGGGTCATATTTCTGACAGCGTCTGTGGGCAATTTCATTCTCATACTGGTGCTGTGGCGAAGAAGAAAGAAGCTGTCTAGGATGTATGTGTTCATGCTTCACCTCAGCATTGCTGACTTAGTGGTAGCCTTTTTCCAAGTGCTGCCTCAGCTCATTTGGGATATTACAGATGTTTTCATAGGGCCAGATTTCTTGTGCAGAATTATCAAGTATCTACAATTGCTGGGCATGTTTGCCTCTACATATATGATAGTGGTCATGACAGTGGACAGATATCAAGCTGTTTGCTACCCCATGGTCACTTTCCAAAAGAAGAGAGCTCTCTGGAACATCCCCATTTGCAGCAGCTGGTCTATAGCACTGATTCTTAGCCTACCACAGGTATTTATCTTTTCTAAGACTGAAATATCTCCAGGTGTCTTTGAATGTTGGGGTGAATTTATTCAGCCCTGGGGGCCGAGGGCATATGTGACTTGGATTTTTGTAGTTATATTCTTCATTCCCTCAGCAATCCTTATCACATGCCAGGTCAAGATTTGCAAAATAATCAGAAGAAATATAAACGTGAAAAAACAGAATGAATGTGAAGCAACAAATCAGAATCAAGTCCTGCCATCCCGAGCAAGCAGTGTGAACTGTATTTCAAAGGCTATGATCAAGACAGTAAAAATGACAGTGGTGACAGTTGTTGCCTATGTTCTGTGTTGGTCACCTTTCTTCATTGCCCAGCTGTGGTCTGTGTGGTTCCCCAGCATCCTGACCGAAGGTAAGATGCTCTCCCTCCTCAGCCACAGCTGCGGAGCAGGCTGGCACACTGCTGTCGAGTGCTTTATGCTTGCATTTTGCTTTTGTGTAAAGGTTATGTGTGGTCATTTGAGGAGGATTAAAAAGAAATACCTGGATTGATTATCTCCTATATTTAATTAGGCACAGGGAGCTTCTTGTGTTATGTGATCAAAACATCATGCGTCTGCTTTGTGTGTGTGTCTGGAGTGATTAACAATTTAAAGATTCATGAACAGCATGGGGAAAAGTATCATGTGCTTCAGCAAAGCCTCAGACTTTTAGAGGTTTTAGGTATAATAGCAGTATTTTGGGTTCTTGAGGTGAAAAGAAGCAATTGACTATTCAAAGTAATAAAATTGTTTCTTATTTACTGGGTAGAACAGTGGAGTTATAAGACATCTGATTTTTTTTACTATTGAAATCATTGATGAAATCTCTGTAGTAAACTATGAAGCAGCCAAAAGTTGTCAACCATCTGTTTATAAAGCAAAAAAGCAAGCCTGAGAGAGTTATCAAACACCATGTTGTAAACAAGAATGGGCTTGTCAAATTTATGCTATTGCCTCTTTGTGAAAGGCTGACTCTATATGTGACTTTAAAATCACCTAGTCTAAATAAAGAGGGAAAAAAAGAGATAAAAATATAATAGTCCTGCCTGATAAAAACAGTAGTTTCTGAACTTTGTTTTAAGAATTCCTCCTGTCAGTGTGAATTTGAGTCTTATTCTACATACATTTATGTCAAAATATATACCTGTATTTATTTGTATCTGTTTAACAGCTTAGTAATTACTTTTAAAATTAATGCAACTACCTCAAAAAAGAGCTATATGAAACTATTTAACTCTGAATGCATGCAATGAAGTGTGCTTTATGCCTTCAGTAATTGCAAATTGCATTGATATGGGAATTTCCTAATATTAGATTGGTTTTGGCATAATAATAGATGCAGCAGAAAGCAGCAGACTGTGAAAATGTGACTTATATTTATAAGAGTGCTTTATTTAGTCTCTCATTCCTTTAACTGCTTTCTTCTAGGTTCAGCATTCACCATTATAATGCTCCTTGGCAATCTAAATAGTTGTGCCAACCCATGGATTTACATGTATTTCTGTGGCCAGATTCCACATTGCGCAAGCAAGCAGCTGGAGAATACCTCGGCTCAAGAGGAATCCGTGTTCACGGGCAGCATTCACCTCGCAGACAGAGACCCTGAGGAGAACAGTACTTCTGCATAAATGCTGAGGGCTTCTTGTTGTTTTGTTACATTCCCTCTGTTCACAAGACATAGTGATATTTTACCATCATCCCTTATTTTGTGGATAAGGAAGATGAAAAATTGTTTTTTGTTGTAAAAATATATTTCTCTGCAGTTCTGTAGCATATTCAGGAAGTTTCTGTGTTGTGCAAGCCTGACTCAGTGCTTCAATTGCCACTGTCTTATAACAATGAATTCCTGTAAAGACTGACAAATATACATAAAAGTATCTTAGATATTTTGTGTTCTAAAGTACTTCCCCATCTGTGATTCTGGATTTCTAAGAAGTAAAATTTTATTACTAACTGGTTCAAGAAATTGAAACGTAATTAAAAAGAAACCTGATCTAATTAAACTTGAATATGTTTTCAGATTGAACCATGAATTGTTCATCATTCTGTGTGATTGAGGGACAATCACAAATCTTGAGAAGGCAGCACAAAGTCAGAAAAAGCTTTTGCCAGCTCTTACTAGCACTTGGTTTAAATTAACTCTTTATGTACATTTATAAAATGCCAAGCAGTTTAATATAATTAAAAAAAATAAAAATTGGTGTGCTCGTGACATTGAACCCCTACTTCAGTTTCAAATTCCGTTGTGGATTTCAGGTATCAGCAGCATAACAGCAGTTCAGGTTTTTTGGCTTCACACCATGGGATTTGATTTTCCATGCATTTCCTGATGTTTAAGCAGTTAACTGGACACCTACACACACCCCATACACACACATATACATACTCTAAATAAAAGTGGGTGCTAAGAGAGACACTTTCATTTGGCATTCAGACCCATTTGCTCTAGCATGAGATTTATTGACAGAGAACCAATTATTATTATATTCCTTAGTATCCCTTTAGGTTGAAATTCAAATATTTCCCTTTGCTGTAAAAATAAATCTGCATATCTTTATTTCAAATGCCATTTGTTTGCTGGTTTGTGGGTGTTATATGCAGGTAGCTATTTATTTCCTTTCAGTGTCTGCAATCTGATCAGAGGAATATGGAAGGAATATCAGCAAGGCTCTTTCAGGTGAGAATGGATCTGCAGGGACTCTGTGACACTTACATCTGGTGACATGTAAGCTGTCTACATTATACTGTGTTTCATCACATTTCAGTTCTCTGAGTGCTAGCAGTCTGAAATTTCAGTAGAAAAGCTATAAAATTGTGGAGTTTTAATGGTCTTTAAATTGTAGTCAAAGAAATATTGATTTTAACTAAATACTGATCACATAGTGAGAAATTCTGCTGTACGGTGAATAGTAATGCTTCGGGTTAATTTATGCTGAAATGACTGCATATTCAATGATTTCTATTCTCTGTATAATTAGAACAGATAAGGGCAAGAACCAAATATTGTTGTTCCTTATAATGGGAAAAGTTGGTGCCCCAGCTCAGCTGACAAGTACAGGTCTCTATCTGTTAGGAAGAGGAAGAAGGTGGGTGAAGATAGTACCAGAGCAGGAATGGGAAGGGTTTGTATGAAGGTCTTACTATAATTACAGCTGGTAGATTTTTCTTGCTGGTTTTTTTTCCTCTCTCCCTTCAATTAGTAGTTAATAATTCTACCCCACAAAAAGTTTCCTGTTAGAGCAAATCTGTAACTCAGGTGAATGTCCTTATCCGGGGTAAGAATATCCAAGATACAATCCATTCTATTGATAGGATATTGATACAGACACTCACTGACTTCCTAAGACTTTCAGTCAATTAGCTCTAAGTGAAGTTTTCCCTTTTGACTTAATCCAATGGTTAATGGTAGGATTTTTGGGGTTTTTTTTCCGTTTCCTTTGATTGTAGTTAGTTACACAGCATAATACGCAGACTTGAAAGGAACTGAAAACAGAAATGCTTCAAGGAATCACCCATGTCACTCACTACTGTATTGGCAGCAAAGCTCCTCAAAAGGCACTAATTTGCAAAGAAAACAGGTATTCAGATTGTGTGCAAAGAGTCATCCATATCCAGAACTGGTGGAAGCCACAGACTTCTGTTCAGGCACTACAATGGAGTCATTGTGCCATTTGACACCACCAGATCTGATCTGATCTCTGGTAGAAGTTTAAAGGTATAAATTCTACATTTCTGCATTGCTGATATATTTGTTGCCATCTCTATAAAGAATTTGGTAGAGCTGGATTTTGCAAATAACAGTACCTCGATGTGTTCATTAAAAGTCTCAGAGAAATGTTAACTGTCTCTATCTCAGATATTTTAATCATGTAGTGAACGAAATATCAGAACTTCAGAAGTTCAATGGTGATTTTCCACCATCTTTAATGTTCAAAACACTTATATTTTTGCCTCTCAAGTGTTTTCTTTCTGATTTTTTCATTTTCCTTCCTCTGACATGAGTCCCGCTCCTAAAAAGAAAACTATAGGTTGCACTATAGTGCAAACTACAGGCTATGGATACTTGTAGTTTCAGTCTCTCAGGAGATATTTGAACACAGGTATTCCGGCTATTTCTCTTAGGAAAATGAAGTGGGCTGCATTTTCCAGATGTATGTCCTCATTCCACATGCCCTGCCCTGCCTACCCCATGGGTAGCACTGACTAGCAGTCTCAGTGGCGAGTTTTGTTCAGGTCCACTGTTTTTCCATCAAAACTCATTTTCAAATGATGAGAAATTCATTTGAGTAAATTTTTTCCTTTCCCTTTTTATGTTTAAAAATCCTTATAATGTGCACCTTTCAGAACTTCTCTTATTTCTTGGAAAAAAAAAGTAATTTAAAAATAAAATAAAAATTTTCTCTTAGTAAATTTATCCATCAATGCTCTTGGGAGCTGTTGTTTGAACATCTTGTGCCCTTGTTCTACTTTATATTTTGAGTTTTCATCTGAACTATATATTTTTCAATTCACTGCACTTAGATTTCCAGCAGGTATTGCAGTATCTCATTAAGAGAGAGGGTTGACTTTGGCACAACACTATAGTCTAGCCAAGGTTTTTAATCCATATGGGAGAGTCACTAACTCAAAAATATGAGTCCCTAGGAGCACTGTGGAGACCCATAAAAATGGAAAAAATCCAATTATCAGATGAAAGCCTTTCTCATCAAAGCCTAGGTTCTGTTTTCTCACACAAATAAATTCTGAGTAAAAAAACCCCTAATGTTCCCAGTCCTGAAATGAATGACTATGTTGTTGATGCTGGCACTGTGACATGCTTTCTGGTTATCTGGGTGGGGTTTTTTTTTTATTTTCCATGATTTTGTTACTACTTGAGAAAGGCACAGTTCACTAAAAAGAATTAGATTCTTGCTTAAAAATTAGTAGTTTATACTTTGTGGCACAGATAAGAAGAATGAAAGACAATGTAATCTATTGGTTCTGTATAGATTTATTATAGGAAAAAGAAACTACAAAAACAACCTAGTAGAATGAAAAGAAAATCCCAACATGTTTTGCATTATTATCAGAATATTTTGATCATTCTTTTATTCTACAGAACTGCTTATGTATTTTCATAGCCAGTCCCAGTTCACATTCATGTAAATGGTGAATACTGAAGATAGAAGTGGTGCATGATAATCTTTTTAATCTTGCAGTGAAATAATGCTGAGGAATTTTAAAGATGGTGCCAAAAGAATGTCCTTACAATTTCACTTTGATCATTTAGTTCTCACAAGAGAAAGAGTTATAGAGTGGAATAAACTGCTCCTGTGTCTGCGTTGTTGGGCGAGGACTGGCAGAGTGACATGGAGACACAAATTGGAGCTGGCAGGGTTTATTCTGTGAGCCAAACTTGGCAGTAATCTCTAGTGTCAAACACATGACCAGGACAAAAGGGTCCTCAAGAGGTTGTGAGTGTTAGCTACTTTTGGCTTAAGGGTGTCATGAACTGGCAAAGGCAGAGCAGAATGACCCAGCTAATCAGTTCATTTAGGAAAATTCATTTTGGGTTGGATTCCTTAGAGTAAAAAAAAAAAAAAAAAGAAAGAAAGTTGTTTTCTGACTTCATAAGATAGAGATTTGGGCCTCAATGCCCTGGCTATCTACAGGAAACATCCATGATTATGAAACAGATTGTTCATACAGCAGTAAAACAGGATTGAAAACAGTTCAAATGGGAATTGTGTTACTTGTAGTAATGCAGCCACAAATAATTTATTCTCTACTGAGGATCTATTTGTGATGATCCATAGTTGATCCATAAAGATTTAAATTGAAAGGAAATCATGTAGTCAGAAAATCAGAAATAGAAACTGATGCAATCTATCCTACCAGATGAAAACTCTGACTTGCCATTCCAAATTGCACCTCTTCAGCCCTATGTGAGCCCAGCAACAAGTCCCTCTCTGCTCTCCTGGTCCCTGGTAGAACTTCATGATCTGCAAAATACTTCCCAAACTACCTGCCTTAATCTCTTGCTAAGGTAGCAAAGGTTATCTCCACTTTGCCTCTCTGAAACAAAAGGACAGAAACTGTCTTTTCCCTGGGCTTATATGACACTCCTGCCATTACCACTTGAGGACTTTCTAAAGGTCATCTCGTTGAGGGGGCAGATTCTGGGCATTTTTACAACCCCTCCAAAAATTGTTATTAATTTGAACTTCACTCTTTAGGAGCCAAAGAAAAAACAGACTTTGAGTGAAACTAAGCAGCCATACCCATTCCCTCGTGCCTCCTTTTTTGCCAGTGCAGCAGACCAAAGCATATGCTTTCTGCCAGTAGGTTGTAGCAACTAATTTAACTGAGCTATATCATCCATCTCCATAATGAACTTTGGGGGCAATGAAACTCTAAGCAAAGACTTCTTGCCTTTCCATCCAAATCTTTTCTTAGAGATACAGAGCAAACCAAGTGCTATTGTATTCATCAGGAGCTTTTTTATATCATGGCTCACACTTTGAATGATCTTTAGCATTTTGAATTTGTGTTTCTTGCATCCATTTCAGCATACCAAAATTGTTAAAATTGTGTGTTACCCAGACTTTAGCTACAAATCTTCTGAATTCTGTGGTAATGCAGAAATCAGTAGGAATTTGTGGAGGAAATGTTACATTGCCATCTGGGGAAGAAGTTTAAAAAAGGCCAAACAAAAACATTTTAACTTGAAGAACTCTGGAAATTATGGCTGGGGAGGTGGATATAACTAGAAAGACATCTCCTTACATGCCAGTGACCACTTTTCAAGACAATAGATGTAGTAATAAATACTAAGACCCAAGAAATAT